TCTTTTCTTTGTATGTTACTGTCTTGTATCACCTCTAATCTTCGGCGTGGGTGGTTGGCGGGTGCTCTGGTGTGGTTTGCTTCTTCTTTCCTATCAAACGTCTATCGTCTTTATCTCTCTCCTTCTTTTTTTGTGTTTGTTGCTTTCTTGTATCACCTCTAATAATCTTGGGCACTTATGTGACCTTATTGTGTTGCCAGTGCCGTAAAACTCTTTACTAAAACTGAAACTAATCTTTTGCACTTAAATGACCCATTTGTGTTGCAAGTACCGTGAAAATCTTACCAAAAGTATATGTAAAATTAAACGCCTGATCTTTGGCCATATTGTGGCATATTTGTGTTAAAAGTGCCGTAAAACTCTTACTAAAATTACATTAAAATCTCTGAATGAAAGAATGAACGAGTATGTGTCTTCTTCGTGCCTGCCTGTCTAAATGAAGGAAAAATTGTGTTTTCTACGTGTCTGTCTGTCTGTCTGAGCGAAAGGACGAAAGAATGAGCGACTGTCTGTTTTCTTTTTGCCTGCCAGTTTAACTATTAGAAGGAAAGAAAGAACGACTCTATGTTTTCTACCTGCCTGCTTGTCTGAATAAAGAAAAGAACGAACGACTTTGGTATCATCGTCATCTTTTCTTACATCCGTCCTAATGATTTCCCACCTTTATTTAGTTGCAGAACCTCTAATTTACGGAACCTACATTGTATGACCAATTTGTGTTGTTGTAAGTGCCATAAAACTATTACGAAAACTGAAAGCTCTAGGGAAAGGAAAAAATGAACGACTATGTTACATTAGTATTCTCGTCACCAAGTCACACCTCCTCTCTGACCTCTGACCTCTATACTCTAACCCAGTGACTTTCCTCCTCTTTGACCTTTGCCCTCTGACCTCTAATCCAGTGACTTTCCTCCTTTTTACCACTGCCTTCTGACCTCTAACCCAGTGACTTTCCTCATTTCTCCAGCTGCCCTCTCACCTCTGACCTCTAACCCAGTGACTTTCCTCTTTTCTCCAGCTGCCCTCTCACCTCTGACCTCTAACCCAATGACTTTCCTCCTTTCCCCAGCTGCCTGGCGGTGACCTGACACTGGCCGAGCTGCAGGAGATGTCCACCCGGCAGCAGCAACAGATGGAAGCCCAGCAGCAGGTACGAGATATAGTAAAACTATGGTTTATATGTGTGTGCGTCTCTCTCTCTCTCTCTCTCTCTCTCTCTCTCTCTCTCTCTCTCTCT